TATAATTAAAATTTATAAATAATTAACATTAGCAATATTCAAATTTTACTAATATTTATTTTATAATTAATAGTAATAAATAATAATTAATTTTAGTAAGAGCTATAATTAGAAAAAAGTGACTATAAGCTACCAATAAGTTAGTTTTATGCATCGAAACATGTACCCAGAAATTATGTTGTGTAGGGTAAGGTTCATGTGAGACCAATTTGTTTTCGTGAGATTCGTGAAACCATATTTTTACACCTAAACCTTCGCAATAAAACATTGTGAAAGTAAAAGAAATTCTGAATCTTCACAATAAAAACACTATGAAGATTACCTTCACAGCTTTTACTGTAAAGTTTCAAGTGTAAAAATGTTAAGTCTCACGAAAACAAGTTAGTCTTACATGATCCCAAGTCTATGTATGTATATACACTATGTAGAAAACGCATTTTAGCATTAACAATTTAACATATCGTTTTCAAATTTATATTCGATATTCTTTTAATATTCTTTCATACTTGATTATTGTTATCATTAAAGAGATATCCAAAGAATTCTCCACACGTAAGAATTACTTTCCCATAAACCTATTGGGGATTAGATAGTGCAAGACATAAACTGTGAGTCCCCTAACAATGATCAATCTTCATATGAGCTTCAACAATAATGGCAGATCTGATATGAATATTCAAGAACATCATAGAGAGGATTGAGAGAGAAAGTCAAGATCTAAAACTTGGTCAAACTTCAATTACGTAAATCTGATTTATCAAAATGAGCTCCTTTTTACAATTACAAGACTTTACCCTTTATATAGGGTCAAACATTAAAGTCCTAGTCAAAGTCAAACTTTACAGAAAAGTCAAACACGATGACTTTTATAATTATAGACAATATTTAACTTTCAAGACGAATACAATTTAATACTGATTTTCAATCCTAACATAAACAACAAGTGACGATGGGGACGAGTCCCTACACACTACATTTACATGCATGTACGAGTTTTATTGTCCCCTTATGTTTTTCGCCATACAGTATAAGATGTTTTTATTAAAATAGATAATACGATAAAAAAAATATTCATAGAATTTCAAACTAAAATTAAATAGGGTAAAATACAAATGTAATTATTTTCCAATTATTTCCTTAATTTTTTTAATTACGAATTTTAATTAATGAAAATATATTTGAATATAATAATTTGTATGAGCACTATCATTACATTTACAACCATCATGTTTAAAAACAGTATATTTTTTTGTTTCTAAAATTAGTTAGGTATGGTGCAAATTACTTTTCAAGATTTGGGTGAAGTGATTTAGAAGGAAGTCATCATTCCTTGAGTAAATTTGAAGTTAGTTGCAAGATAAAGAATCGACCTATACATACATACATATATTTGTATCTATATGCATATTTATGATGGAAAATTAAATAAATTATATATCTTCAAACTTATGGACCGTTTACCAATTGCTTATCCGATAAGTGCTTAACAATAAGGTCTATATTATTAGATGCATATGCATATTGTGATATTTATCAAATTGTGAAGCAGATGTATCACAATGTGCATACCAACTAAATGTATATGTGGTGCGGATGTTAACATCTTGCAAACATCATACCATTTATTGTGTCAATTTTGTACCAAGATAAATCAATCAATTTATCTATCAACCATAACAGTTAGTTGGTACCAATATAATTGGTTGGTAATACCATATCAACTATCTAAACTTGGTTGATACGTAATATTAGAAGTCGTATGTCATGGTAATACTGTACTGTACCGTACCGATTTATTTATTTATTAAAGTCTAATTAGTAATACAACATATTTTGATTTTAAATTTCAAATTATCTTGTTTTCAAATTTGCTAAATTAAAATACTAATAGATATACAAAAATTTGACTAAATTCACTCGTCTAACCCTAACAATCTTAGTAACTCATGTCTATACCTCAATGGTCCATCGATGTTCATCAATTGCTGCTTATAGTAGATTATTAGTGAATGTTTGTATTTATATACAAATAATATAAATAATTATTGCAACACATATCAATATGTTATGTAAATACTCGATAGATTTAATACATATAGATCTAGTTGGTAAATATGTCAATTTAAACAAATTTTTAATACCGCACCAACATGTACCAAAAGAAAAAGTTGGTACTAATTTAATTGGTGACAAATATAGTTGGTTGGTACATGATATAAAATTTTGTGTACCAATTATAATTGGTATAAAAAAACATGGTATCCCTACATTTGATGACCAATATGTTGAATATTAATGCTTTTTAACTTATTTAACTAGTGGTCTTAAAAATTGATTTCTTAAATAATTCGAAAATACAACAATATATGTGAAGTCCAATTAAATTGTTTACATGTATCACACACTGTTTTAAAAGGTCTATCATAACAACCATGATGGTGCGGCGTGACTCGTGACTTATGTCTCACGTCATATTAAAGCTTGTGGCATATCATGGCTTTATGCATGATTTTTATAACTTAAATTTAAATTGTTTATTACAATTAACTCATTGAATAACACTAGAAAACATATGTTTGTATGTATGCGTGTGTGTGTGTGTGTATATATATATATATATATTTGTAGACATAAGTCGCAGATCAAAAAACGTCGTGGCATGTCCGTGACTCTTAAAACTTGAGGCTTTGCGTTTGCGTCACGTTATTTCGAACCTTTACTACAATGAGGGGTGCTGGGATATACACATTTTATATATTTACATTCACTTGGGGTGTTTATTACATAAGTGCGGTTTTTTATTGTTGAGATGTCGATAACATTTATATTAGTTTCTGATTTAGTACTTGATTTACAAATTTGGATATATGTATGCATTTTATCACATGACGTACGTGTTATTGTGTCAATCATTTTCTCTAAATATCTGGTATCTTGTTAATTTCTTTTTCAATAAATATTATTCCTAATTAATCTGAATTTTTATTTTGAAAAAACTTGAATTATTGGTTTTCAAGATAAATAACTCATCATTTCCATTGAATAATAATAACAAGGTCCATGTCAATGTCTTTTTACAAGCCCTATTATTTACAATTTCCCTCTCAAAAATAAAATTCAAATTTGAAAAATAAATAAAAAAAAAGTGAAATCTAATAACGTAATTAAAATAAAGGAATATTAGATTTTTTTTTTAAATGTACGGTCAGAAGAAAATAAAAAAATAAATAAAAAAAGAGAGCGGTGGAGCAGATGTGCGTATGGGACCCACGATGAGTAAGAAGACAGGAGTTGGGGAAAATGGGTGGGGCAGTAGTAATAAAACACAGCTAGCACTGAAGGAAGAGCTTCACCTACCATTAACACACACACACACACTTCCCTCCTTTTTTTAGGGTTTATCTCTCTCCTTTCAAATTCATAATTCGAGTGTTGATATATCTGTTTCAGTTTTAGGTTTCAAATTTCAAGCATTTTGTCCTTTCCTTTGGGATTTTTACCTTCATCTTCGCCCCACACAGGACTTTCTGCTTCAATTGCAGCTTTTAGGGTTTTCAACCTCAGGTTTGAATCCATTTCTAAGTAATTTATGTTGTATTGTATCGTATCTCTGCTAAAGGACGTTTTCCACCTCTTCATTTCAATTGTTTTGCTTCAAATTTGGCAGCCAGGTGATAAAAAAGTATGATGCTTTCATGTTTTCGTCGAATTTCTAAGATGGTAAACAGAGCCTATGGAATTATATGCTCTGTTAACTTTTGCTATCTTCATTTTCGGCTTAGATTTGAATCCGTTTTACAAATTTGTCATCAAATTTTGCGTTTTTGCTCTGTTTTGTTTATGGAGAAATGGAATTATGCAATTTTGCTAGTGTTTGGTTCAATTTTAGTTGTTAAAACTCTGTTTTTTCATCCTAAATTGTCTTCTTTACAGCTTAATTTGGTCTAGTTTCTTCAACTTACATCTCTCCTCTGCACATTCCTTTGCTTTCCTTGGAATCAAGCAGGGGAACACTGGTTTAATTCTTTGTGCAATATTGTATTGCTAAATTTAGTATGATTCCGAAAGGCGTAGTCATTTATCGTTGGAGTTTTTCTGATTATGAAGAAAGAATCTCAGCACCTCCAGCTAAATTCAAGGACTCTTATACGAAGTTTTTGTTTTCTTCTTTTTCCGAAAAAATCATGCTAACGTGCTCCACTGAAAATGTATGTGAGCTGTCTAACATCACCATATTATCGATTTGTCATCCATCGGTGCCCCCTGCATTTCCACGTTACATAGGAATTACTCTTCAAATTTGCTTTTTCTTGCTTGTTTTTATGTTATTAAAACAAGTTCTAAACGTTCTCTCATTTTCTTTCAGCAAGTAGAGAAGAAAATGACAAGCCAGAATTACATGGAAGAGATTGACTGTGGGAGCTTCTTTGATCACATTGACGACTTGATCGAATTCCCTCCCGTCACCGATACCTCTCTCAATTCCGTAGACTGTAATGAGTTCACCGACATTTGGATCAACAATTCTGATGACTTGCAGGTGACTGACCCCATCTTCTGCGGCAGCAATAGCGGACCTGCCTCCTCTCTGTCGGCAGAGCTCGCCGTCCCGGTGAGTAATTAATGACCATCAGTTGACATTCTTTTATTATTCTAAACGATGTCATTCACCGGAATGTGATGTCATCAGTGTCGGTTCTGGTAGCCAGCTAAGCATTTGATATAGTATCAAAAGTAGGGTGTATGATGATGATTCGACTCATTGGAGTTACTTTTTCATCGACCCGTTCATTTAATACATCTTTAATCCTGGAAAATGGAGGGTGAAGATTAAATTCCACCCACGATTGAATTCCTTTGTATACACACTAGTTTTTTTGATTTTTAAATAGATTCGCATTGGCATCGGAGTTTCTTGAACTTGCTAACCCATTGATTCTGTAAAGTTTAGGAGTCTATCAAATACCGCGTCTTTCTTGACTTTTGATTTGTGGGAACTCAACCATGTATGTTTTTGAATCAAAACTGTTCTTTGTCACTTTTGAATCTAAAAGCTAATGTATTTGACGTTTAAAAGACAAATAGATTGGTGAAAACGATCTTATAATTATGTGGGTCCGTCAATAATTGCAATTTTAGATTGTTTAAAAAGCAAGGGTTATTTCAAGATTTGTTTGTTGCACATAATTCGGTTGTGGGTTCCGTTTCATATTATATGTGAGAGGAGTAAAGTTTACTTAATTTGCGATGAAGGAGTGTTGTTGAAGAAAAGCTGATTGATTAGGTCGACAATTAAGTCCAAGATGAGTCCTTTTCCAATGTTTTAACTTTATTCAGCCAACTTTACTGTGATGGGTCACTCAAACAGGAAAAAGATTAACTGGAGCTATAAACAAGTTTTGTCAATTTGTCATATTGATATCTTTGTACTTACAACCGTGTTTGTGTTTTATCTCAGTATGAGGATATTGTCCAGCTCGAATGGCTTTCAAACTTTGTGGAAGACTCGTTTTCTGGTGGGGGAATGACCATTAACAAAGAGAATGTTTCGGTCCAAAAGGAGACAGAGACGGTGGTTGCGCACCGCCAGTTCCAGACCTCCAGTCCTGTGTCGGTCCTTGAGAGCAGTAGCAGCAGCTCCAGCTCGTCGTGGTCAGGAGGAAGTGGTGGCATGATGGTCCCACTCAGCCCAATTCAACGTGGGCCTCAACGGGCCCGAAGCAAGCGTCCTCGCCCTGCAACCTTCAACCCTCGTGCCATGATTGAACTCCTGTCTCCTCTGGTTATGATGCCTGTTTCTGTTTCTCCCGAACCTGAAAGAAACTTTGCATCTCGTTGTGGGCCAAAATCCGTTGGGTGTGAGCCTGATCAGAAGAAGAAAAAGAAGCCCAGTAAGCTCAAGATCCAATTAGGCCCAGCAGAGGAAAACGAGAACCAAAACCAAAACCAGAACCAGAACCAGAACCAGAACCAGAACCAGAACCAGAACCAACCAGGAGGAGTTAGAAAGTGTATGCATTGTGAAATTACGAAAACACCCCAGTGGCGGGCAGGGCCAATGGGGCCAAAGAGCCTGTGCAATGCGTGTGGTGTTCGCTACAAGTCTGGACGGCTGTTTCCGGAGTACCGGCCAGCTGCGAGCCCGACTTTTGTTCCTTCCCTGCACTCAAACTCCCACAAGAAGGTGGTGGAGATGAGAAGCAAGGATGAGAAAATGGGAGAAGCAGAGGTGATTCCAAACATTAAGGGTGGAGAGTATTACATTTGAAGGGGATTAGTGAGTTTTAGCATGATTTGTTTTGTTGATTGTAAATGAGGAGGGTTGAAGAAGAGATAGATATATAATATAGGGGGTAGAAATAGAAGAATGAAGATGTAGAGGGTGGTTGAGTGTAAAATCAAAATTAAAAAAAGAAAAGAAACGGGGGTAAAAGAGTCATATTTGAATTTGTTTTGTTTGTTAATTGTTGGTGATGATGGGAGGTAGGGTATTCTTTTTGTAGTTGATAACCATGATATCAGGGTTTAAGCCAAGGGTCCTTTTGTGAACTTATAAAATTTTGTGGTGTTCTTTTCTTGTCTTGTGTTTCTTTCTTTATTTTTCTAAACTAAAATTAATAATAATAATAATAAGTAATAATGAGTATATTATATATATATATATATATATATATATATATATATATATATATAGACGACCAATCATTTGTTAACCAAAAAACATATGCTAAGTTTGTTAACCAATTAAGACCGTTCAAAATCTAAATCCATGGTTAAGATAAACCAGTGGCATATTTGTAATAGAAACAAATTTGAGTGTGTGTTCCACATCCAATCATATGTGAACGGAGGTTAATGGCACTGCTTGCGTGAATCTTAACAATCAACAACCAACAAACAACCCTTCTTCGAAGCTCCTCTAAAACTCTAGTACTCGTAATCCTAACACTCATCATCCTCACCGTCGTTCCTCACTACTACCCTCTTCACAAATTCCCAACCACTCATGCCTCCATCGACACCATCGCTCTGATGTACCACCCACAAGATGAAGTCATCACCATAAATGCGACGTCCTTTCCAATGAATGGATCTGAAATCCAGATGCTCCGTATTACGATAACATGACATGTTGGGCAATCCATGAACACCAAAACTACCAGAAATATAGACGACCCAACTCCGATTTCATGAAGTGGAGATGGAAAACCAATGGGTGAACATTTGTGCAGAAAGAGTGAGCATTGGTGAAAAAGAAAAATGTTCAGCAAGAGACGAAACTAAACAGGAGAATTCAAGAGAAGTGTATTTTGGATATAAATGTGACACAATCAGAAGAGGTGGGGTGACATAATCAGGAAAGGTGCATCATGGTTATAAGGGTTTTAAAATCAAATGAAATTGAAAATTGGATTTTTATCATATGTCAATCTGTTGTCGCATCCTTATGATGAGATGAATTGAAATTGTCACATCTGTGTGGTTATCGCATCCTATTGATGCGATGACTTGTTTTTGTTGCATCCTTGTGATTCGACAAATTGACTTATCTTTCATCCCAGTGATGCGACAAGTTGAGTTTATCGCACCAAGATGATGCGATGAGTTGGGGTCCTCGCACCAGTATGTTGTGAGGGAATGAAGTTATCACATTTTATCTAATATGATACAATGAGATTTTGTATAATGCGATAAATAAGTTATTTGATTATGTGATACAATAAAGGGGTGTTGTCTCATTATTTTGATATGAAAAAGAGAGGTTTCTCTCAATAAAAATGTTGTTTATTTCTTATTTATACAAATATGGATTTTATAAAAGTGTTTCGGGTACTGTCTGATGATAAAGGGAAAGGGAAATTATGAAGATTATATGATTACTTCTTGGGATGTGTTTTCTTTTGTATATAAATACCTGTTATGCATACAAGTTTTGCACTAACACAAATGAAAAAATTTGATGGCTACTTTGTAAAGTAGCTTTTGTATATAATGGAATCAAATGTGTAAATTATATTTCTTGATATATGAAATATATGGTTATATACAAATGTGATCTTAAGGTGTTATACTTACATTACTTTTTTTTTCTTTTTCACGTAATAAAAAATTAAAAATAATATAACATGGTGTAAATCAAAACTTTTGTCAAATGAATCCAACCCATATAAATATAAATAAAAGCAAGGTATGAGACAATATACATAAATAAAATAAATATAAACTTACTACAATTGGTAATATATCTAAAACACATTTCATTTCTTCTTTTAATTTACAATAAAATCAAATTGTACAAATATTTCATTTTGGAATATTAACAATATAATGTTACATTATATTATCTTAATTATGAATAATTAAAATCTCTTATTAATTCAAAACCTTTCATCTTTTTTAAATTATCAATATACATACATGCATGCATACATACATACATACATACATACATACATACATACATACATACATATCCATGCTTTATGAATGTCACTACGGGTTAGTGGTTATTAAGTTCAACCACTCACGATCTATAACTCAATGAGTCATCAAGTTCAACTATCCATGAATTAGACTTATTACATTAAGTCATTACTAATGTAATAATTTATATATACTATATTATAAAGCATTTGATAAAAACTCTTAAAAACCATTTTTTATGCATGAAGTAATGTTTATTGATGCATATTACTTCAAATTTAATATTACAAGTAAATTGTGCATAAGTACAACTTATTAAAGCTTTATATTTGAATTCGTGCAAATAACTACGGATAAACATAATCAAATAGAGGATAAATATCTCATTTTAAAATATAAAAAATCTAACATATAATTAGGATAATTATTGAGTCTAACAGAATACTTAATTATTATCTTTATAAAAAAAATATTATTAAACCTAAATTAAGTTACTTCGTTACGATTTTGAATTAAAAAAATAAACAAATAAAAACTTTTAAATAGTTAATTTGATACTAATATTAATATACTAGTTATATACCCGCGCAATGCGGCGGGAGCCATGAATTTTAACGATTTTGAAGTTCCACTGGTTTTATAAGATAACATTTAACGATGATATAGGTTACACTTGGTCTTTACATATTAATACAATTTGAATAAATAAGAGTTATGGTTCCAATTACAGACTATCGATGAAAAAAATTGTATGACAGTTTAAAATCCAATATATTTAAACGACTCCACAAATGTTCGATTTACACCAAGAGCAAAGAACCAAGAAACTTGAGTTTTAAGATAAACACTCAAAACCAATAAAGAAAACTACAAAATTAACAGATAATAAGCCATGAAAAGACAAAAAAAGATGAGTTTCAGAATGAAATATTAACTGTTTACCCTCTTTCTTATCCAAAAACTCAGATTAAGGTTGAATTAATACATGTATATAGATATATATTTCAAAAAAACCCAAGAACATATTAACTCAGAACATATTATATAGTGCAATTTAGACAGACTAACCCCAAAATATATAGTATATATATATATATAAATAACTATAAAAGTATAAATCGTAAATATTAAAAATATTTTTTCACAGTATATATAATGTATAATAATATAATTAAGTAAACAACTATTCAATATTGGACTCATTTTGAAGGTATTAAAGAGACGATTATAATGGTGTAACTTGTAAAAATAAAAATATATTTTTTAAACATGTTTTAATTGATATACGATTATGTATCTTAATTCGATAAATGTTTAAAATAAAACATTTAAAAGTAAAGAACGTAAAGTAAATTAATTAACTAATTATAGGGATATAAAGTGTAAATTTAAAATTATAATTTTAAAAAAATGGGTATGAGTGCATGTGAGGGGTAAGTGCATGTGAGGAGAGGAGGAGGTGAAAAGTGTATAAAAGGGTATCTTGGTCATTTAGTATTTTAAGACTTTTGCTAAATTTGCTTTATAAGATAGTATAGATTTTTTAAAAAATTTATATGATATTTTCAAATTTATATTTTATTCAAAAATAAAAACATTATCGCTTTCTTAAAACCACATAAAATCGTATTATATGAACATAGATAAAAAAATAAAACGAAACATTGAAAAATCGAAATGTGCTTCGATGCATTACATGAGTATCCTTTTAGTATTAACTAGAGGGTACTCGCGCAATGCAGCGAGATACATCTCGAATTTAATGTTTAATTTTATTCTTTATCTCTGTCGATGTTATAATACGATTTTATGTGTTTTTAAGAAAACAATAATGATTTTATTTTTGGATAAAATATAATTTTGAAAATGTCATAAAGTTTGAAAAAATATATATCAATGTTAATATCAAATCAACTATTTAAAAGTTTTATTTTTTATGTAATTTCTTTAATTTATTTTTTTATTA